ATTCTCAAACTGTCTTGTTTGATCTTTATGAAAATTCTTATACTATGGACTTAGAGGATTTTACCACTGCTTGCAAACTTCCACAATGGGGTAGTGCTAGTGAACCTCGCAAATCTGAATTTAGAGATTTTCTTGCTAGTATAACTGTGGGGGAATCTAGAGACATAGCACAAGCTACCATAGGGAGCATTCATTTTCCTGCTATACATTATTTTGCTCTCTTCATAGGTAGGTGCATAAATGGTAAGGATGAAGCATGTCACATGTGTGTCCCTGACCTCAGTATTCTTAGGAGTGTTGTGTTAGGAGATAAATCTTATAATTTGGGAGCCATTGTTGCATGTAGGTTGCATCATAATAGAATTAATGGAGATTTTTTTGGTGGAATTTATGCAACCCGCTTAGCTGATTTTCTTGATGTAGCCATACGTGATGATGATATTGAGTTGCCTCCTACTTATCTAGACTTTAATGCTATGGTTCACCATCAGGTTGTCGAGAGGAATGAACCACCTCTCCAGTACCGACTAATCTTTGACAGGCGTCACGCCGTCAATATTGTTCTCCCTGCCCCTACTCTATTTGACTTTCAGGCAAAGGGGAGACATTTTATAACCAGAGAGGAGGCAAATGAGTACGAAAGGAGGACGATGGCAGCTCGCCTCCAAGCTGCAGCCCACGATGCAATAGCTGGTGCATCTTAGTACGACCCCAACTACAACTTTGAATATCCGCCAGGCCATCCGTGGCAATAAACCAATTTAGGCCAAAAGCCTAAACTTGGGGGAGTACGTATTTCTCACCGATATTACATTCATGTTCACACACTCATTGCTAGATGTCGGTGCTCATACTTTTTCATTGTAATATCCATGCTAGTTTATTTTCTTTTTCTTGCTTTCTTCTTGTGTGTTTGATAAACCTTAAGAAAAACAAAAAAAATAGTTGTAGCTTTTAGTTAGTTTACCTTTCTTGCTGTAGTAGTAATAATTAAAAGAAAACCCAAAAATATGTCTTGTTCTTCTTTTGCTTGTTGGGAGCTTTCCCATGTAAATAGTTTTATTTCTTTTCTTTTCTTTGGCGGTCGATAGGAGAAGACCATGATTAAATTGTTGAAGTGGCTTTTATATGCATTATTATTGATTGAACTAAGAGCCCATATTGCCTTGTCTTCTCCTGTTTATTGAATGCTCGCAGATTCCAGCTTAGTCCAATGCACGTGCACTCTTATTTTCACATCGTTCGGTCATGCAAGTGGAAGGCAATTATGACGATATATGATGGATTGATTGAGATGAGAGAAGCTGGTATGAACTCAACCTCTCTTGTTTTTGTAAATATGGTTAGTTCATCGTTCCTGATTCAGCCTATTATGAATAAACATATTTGCAATGACAATTAGAGATTATAGTTGCTCGTGCCATGCTTGATTAGCTATGAGTTATAATGGTTTACCTTGCGTGCCAACATGCTATTAAAATTGTCGTGATGTGGTATAGTGGGGTGGTATCCTCCTTTGAATGATTCAAGTGACTTGACTTGGCACATGTTCACACATGTAGTTGAAACAAATCAACATAGCATTCATGATATTTATGTTCATGGTGGATTATATCCTACTCATGGTTGCACTCAATGTCTATTAATTTTACTGCATGTTCATGAGTGTTGTCGCTCTCTAGTTGGTCGCTTCCCAGTCTTTTGCTAGCCTTCATTTGTACTAAGCGGGAATACTGCTTGTGCATCCAATCCCTTAAACCCCAAAGTTATGCCATATGAGTCCACCAATACCTTCCTATATACGGTATCTACCTGCCGTTCCAAGTAAATTTGTATGTGCCAAACTCTAAACCTTCAAATGAAATTCCGTTTTGTATGCTCGAATAGCTCATGTATCAACTAGGGATGTCCGTATCTTCCATGCTAGGCGGGTTATTCTCAAGAGGAGTGGACTCCGCTCCTCACTCATAAGAAAATGGCTGATCACCGGGATGCCCAGTCCCATGCTTTATGCAAATCAAATCAAAATAATTGCAAACAAAACTCCCCCTGGGACTGTTGTTAGTTGGAGGCACTCGTTGTTTCGAGCAAGCCATGTATTGATGCTTGTTGGTGGAGGGGAGTATAAACTTTACCATTCTGTTTGGGAACCGCCTATAATGTGTGTAGCTTGGAAGATATCGCCATCTCTTGGTTGTTATGTTGACAATGAAAGTATGCCGCTCAAAATATTATTTATCTCTGCTTTAAAACCGAGCTCTGACACCTCTACAAATCCCTGCTTCCCTCTGCGAAGGGCCTATCAATTTACTTTTATGTTGAGTCATCACCCTCTTATTAAAAAGCACTAGCTGGAGAGCACTGCCGTCATTTGCATCCATCACTATTAATTTATATTGGGTATGACTATGACTGGATCTCTTTTACCATGAATTACAATGTCTAGTCAGTCCTTGATCTTTAAAGGTGCTCTGTATTTATGTTTTGCGGTCTCAGAAAGGGCTAGCGAGATACCATCTTATTATATCATATCATGATTGTTTTGAGAAAGTGTTGTCATTCGAGATTTATTATTATTGCTCACTAGTTGATTATGCCATTGATATGAGTAAACATGAGACCTAAGAGTTATTGTGAATATGGTTAGTTCATAATCTTTGCTGAAAACTTGAATGCTGCCTTTACATATTTACAACAACAAGAGCAAACAGAGTTTGTAAAAGTTTTTCTTTATCACTTTCAGTTTATCAATTGAATTGCTTAAGGACAACCAAAGGTTTAAGCTTGGGGGGAGTTGATACGTCTCCGTCGTATCTACTTTTCCAAACACTTTTGCCCTTGTTTTGGACTCTAACTTGCATGATTTGAATGGAACTAACCCGGACTGACGCTGTTTTCAGCAGACTTTCCATGGTGTTATTTATGTGCAGAAACAAAAGTTCTCGGAATGACCTGAAACTCCAGGAAACTTATTTTTGGAAAATATTAAAAATATTGGCGAAAGAATCAAGGCCAGGGGGCCCACCACCTGTCCACGAGGGTGGGGGCGCGCCCCCTGCCTTGTGGGCCCCTTGTTGCTCCACTTACCTCAACTCCAACTCCATATATTCGTGTTCGGGGAGAAAAATATCAGAGAGAAGGATTCATCGCGTTTTACGATACGGAGCCGCTGCCAAGCCCTAAAACCTCTTGGGAGGGCTGATCTGGAGTCTGTTCAGGGCTCCGGAGAGGGGAATACATCGCCGTCGTCATCATCAACCATCCTCCATCACCAATTTCATGATGCTCACCGCCGTGCGTGATTAATTCCATCGTAGGCTTGCTGGACAGTGATGGGTTAGATGAGATTTATCATGTAATCGAGTTAGTTTTGTTAGGGTTTGATCCCTAGTATCCAATATGTTCTGAGATTAATGTTGCTATAAATTTGCTATGCTTAATGCTTGTTACTAGGGCCCGAATGCCATTATTTCAGATCTGAACCTATTATGTTTTCATGAATATATGTGAGTTCTTGATCCTATCTTGCAAGTCTGTAGTCACCTACTATGTGTTATGATCCGGCAACCCCGAAGTGACAATAATCGGGACCACTCCCGGTGATGACCGTAGTTTGAGGAGTTCATATATTCACTATGTGTTAATGCTTTGGTCTGGTACTTTATTAAAAGGAGGCCTTAATATCCCTTAGTTTCCGCTAGGACCCCGCTGCCACGGGAGGGTAGGACAAAATATGTCATGCAAGTTCTTTTCCATAAGCACGTATGACTATATTTGGAGCTAGTTCTATGTCACCCTATGTTATGACTGTTACATGATGAACCGCATCCGGCATAATTCTCCATCACCGATCCAATGCCTATGAGCTTTTCACATATTGTTCTTCGCTTATTTACTTTTCCGTTGCTACTGTTACAATCACTACAAAACCCAAGAATATTACTTTTGCTACCGTTACCGTTACTTCCATATTACTTTGCTACTAAATACTTTGCTGCAGATACTAAGTTATCCAGGTGTGGTTGAATTGACAACTCAGCTGCTAATACTTGAGAATATTCTTTGGCTCCCCTTGTGTCGAATCAATAAATTTGGGTTGAATACTCTACTCTCGAAAACGGTTGCGATCCCCTATACTTGTGGGTTATTAGCCGCCGCCAGCCGCCATGTCCGTCTCCATGCTGCCCTGCAATCATGGAGGCACAACCACCGCCAGAATCCAATGGAGGCACAAAGTGGTCGTTGATAACATTATAATTAGGGAGACACCTTTTCTGGAATCACACCATCACAATAGCCTGTAGGCGGGAGATGTCTCCTCTCATCGACTCGGCTCTTGGCTTCAAGGGACGATGATGGGGCGCACAAGAAATTGAAACTGTTTGTCGCGAGCAGCCAAGGAAGGTATGAGCGCATGAGAGATGTAGCCAAATTGCATTTACCATCCAGTGAGTTAAACTAGGCTAACAGGTTACGCCGAAGCAAACTTTTGGTATGGCGAACAATTGTAGAAAAAATTATATCTACTACCACTATAAAAGCACGAAGAGGCAGATCCAACTCGCCATCTCAGCCATCTAATTGGTTAAAAATCATTGTTAAACCCGTCGCTAACGAAACGACTTGCCCCACGCTCGCGAAACGACTCCCCACAAGGCCACAACGCTCGCCCCCACGCACTCTCAAACCCGTCACCGTCCTGCTCTCACCACGGCTGCCCTGTCTCCCAGCCGTTCCCCATTCTAGCTCTGTACTCGCCAACTCCCTCTCTCGACATCCTCCCTACCTCCAGGCTCCAGCGCGAGGACTCGCAGCCCTACTCTTCCTCGCCCCTTCCCATCGAATCCGGTCGCCGAACTGCACGAGGAGGCGCTCGAGCTCGTCATGCTCACGGGCGAGCCAGTCTTAGGCGCCGTCGGAGGCACGGGACTCACCGGCGGGGACGCCCTGCCCTGCCTGGTCTCCCGCGCCCAGCTCCGAGTATGAAGGCGTGGAGCAAGATGGCCGTGGCAGCGGGTTGTGGTGGTCGTCCTCCGGGAGGCGGCGATAACTATGGCGCTGAGTGTTGGAGGTTGGTGCGTCCACGGGGGAAGTTGAAGAGCGAGGGCGTGAGGAGCTGGCCATCCTCGCGCAACCAGTGCAGTGCAAAGGGGGCTTCAATCCCGTCTGATGCAGTTATTCTTGGGGTTCCCGTATAAGAGAATCTACGGTGCTCAGCTCAGCCTACCTTCAGTTCTGACGGCGTCGCCCATGGATCCTCAGGTCAGTTTAGGTCAATTTGGGTACGTTTCCTGCTTTAGGGTCATGCAATGTCAATCTAGGAGCATGTGAAAATAAATTCAGTCATTATCTGGCGCGAGGCCGTGCAAAGGCAGGCAGGCAAGAAGGGACGCTGATCTATCATCCATGGATTCGCGTTTTCTCAAGCTGGTCGTCTGCCCGGAAATGCAAAGCCTTCTGATAGTTGAATCTCTTAAGTTGTGTGCTATAGTGAATTGACACTTTAATTATTTGGAAAACTGGCTTGGCTCCATCAAGACTCGATCGGCTGATTTAAATCTTGATAATTTTTCTTCCCAGCGATCTCATCCTTTAGAAAATTCGATCATGTAATTGGCAGTGTATTTGTGGGCATAATTTCATGAAGTCGCTATTTAGCAAAACAAAAAAAAAACATGCTAGGAAAAAATGGGAGCGCTCTCCAAGACTAATCTAATGCGTTAGTGTAACATATGCTCAAGAATTATCTCCATTCCTGTTTCCGAGCTGTGGTTTGGTCTGGGCCAGGGTGATCTTTCCGAGCTAGATATGAGGATGAACTTAGTTGGTTATAGTGATCTGCTTCTATCTGCCAGCTGCAGCCATAGACACAGCTTCTGTTTTGAATTTCCTGTATATTTCATACTTGAAGACAATAAGACTGATCATGTAAGCGCAGCTGCCATCTTCTGCTAATGTTCCAATCATGAAAGTAGGCACAGCTATAATTGAGAGTTTATCCAGATCGATGAACCTCGAGCAAGCGGCCGTGACCCACATCACCTGACCTCGAGCAAGCGACCGTGACCCACATCACCTGACCTTGACCCACATCGAACAAGAGTGCAAATCGACCATGACGTCCAGCCTCGGCCACAAGTATTTCTTCACCCACCGCTGGTAATTTTCTGGTATTTTGCTTCGAGTTGTCCGATGAGAGTTCAAAATTGTTTCTCATAATTATATTTACAAATCATTGGGTTCAATCAAAGTTCTCATGTTACATACATTGCTCCCTTTCAGAACAAATTACATTACAACTACTAGCATTAGTCAAATTGGAGAACTAGTGCGTTGATTTTGTGTGTGGATCAACCTGCTTGAGGACCTGGGGTGCAGCACACTGATATTCTCCATTGATTATGTAGTGCACGCTATTCAGGAAAGTGAGTACAGCTGCAGTTTTGGCCTCACATGTGCTAGCTAATTTGGGTGTGAGTGATATTCACGGAGGCCATTCTATGTGTCCGGCGAACTGCCCCATCTATATAATTCATGATTTAGTTGATAACTTTCTTGTGCTTTTTCTTGCCACATAGAAGGGCAGAATAAGGATAGATAAGGTTGTATTTTTATTGACCAGCCCCCTTCTTTAATAATTTTTTTTGTGCTAATTAATACGTCTTTGGTTTTCCCTCTATGAATCTCCATTCACCATCGTCTAATATTTTGTGCAGCCTTTACTAGACATGTTGAAACTATATTGCCGTCTCTAACTCTGAAAACTCCAGGCCATGTTTGATTAAAATAGGAGCCTGAGCGATGGAGTATGAAGGCACCTTCATACTGTACATTTGTACTGATGTATCAACATGTTGGCATTCACATCAATCATGTATATTTTACAATCAGATTTGCATGTTACATTCAGACTGAAGTTTACCTTACCCATGTGCATATGAAGCATTGAAGCCGGAAGTCATGTGATCAAAGTAGGTTATGGCTGTCTACTTTTGGAAATCACAGCATTTATCATTTTGTTTTTACAATTATTTCAGATTGTGATGATTGGGTTGCCATCATGATTCATAGAGGATAAGCACCAGCAACGAGGAACTGGGAAGGAGAGGTTGATACTTGAGATAGGTTCTACGATAGCAATGGTGGTGGCAGCGTCTTGCAATTCACATAAATGGGGTGGAGAATAGCAAGGATTAATCTTCAAATCCAACTAGCCAACACTTCACAATGTATGGCTACGATGGTGGCAGAATGGAGGAGCTCATTGTGTTCTGTAAGATGGCTGTGTGGTATGTGGAGTGAAGATGCATCTAGCATCAACTTCTTAGTTATTGAGGTGATTCCGATTTCCTAAAATATTATGTGCTCCACATACATGATGGATTTATGCTTATAGCTTATATGGGATTCTATTTCAGGACACCTTTACTTGGTGGTGCTACCGGCGCCCAAATATCTCATTTCTCTTGATTATATAGTGAAAGTAATTTACTCATGTTCGCCCAAATTCCCAAATTTTTATATTTGAAAAGTTTGGTCTGATCAAATATGTTAAATATTGACACATACTCCCTCCATCCGTAATTACTTGTCGTTCAAACAGATGTGCTAGATACATCCGTTTGGCCGATAAGTAATTCCGGATGCAGGGAATATTTGACTATGCCTATTTTTTTTATTGCTCTTGGTGGGAAGGGATAAGTGTTATGAATTGTTGCTATTGTTGTGAGAAACATATATTGTTGAGCTTACAGATAAGCACATAGAGGATGAAAAATATAATATTACTTATGTGTTGTTGTGCTATTTCATCTCCTGAATTCGATGCAATGAAGTGAATAAGGAGGTGGTGCTCAAGGGAACAAAGGGTAGAAGAATATACGAATATACAATCTGACCTGTTAGGAGTGGCTTCACAAAAACTAAGGTCTAAAAAGTTTGGATGATGCACATTAATTTAGTTTTTTGTTAATTCATTTAATTCCAAAGTATATCGCAAGACTTGCTTTGCTGATGCCAAAGCCCATTAGCAGCAATGCAATGCTTTTGATTTTGAGCAAAGTTATACAGCCAAGGAAACTGGATTTCCTTTCCATCGATGTAAATATTTTACTGTCCCCTAATCTTTCTCCTGACCCAATATATTTGCAAATACCTATGTATTTCTGATCTTTGTGGAGGCTGCTTATCTCACAGTTTTTTCTGTCTATCCCACCTAGTAGGAAAATAGATTGTATATAGTATTAATTCAGTCGAACAACATGAGTATCGTGCCTGCCTACTGTAGTTATTTTTGACAATATGATTTGTTCACACATCATTACAAGGTTCCTTAAAACTACCTTTGTAGATATTTCAAATCAAGGTCTAGGAGGATTCAGCCAATCATACTTTCAAACCAGCAGAGAATGTGAAAGAAAATATTTGTATTTAGGCTTACTAACTGTTAACAAACAATGCGGTTCTCATATGAATGTGTGTAATTTTATTCTATTCATCACTGTGTAAATCACAAGAGAGCTGTGCAATTAGGTTCTTGTCATACTGGTGAGGATAGTGCACTATTCCCATATTGCTTTGCTCAATATTGAAGCACCGGGGCCTTCTTGCTCTGTGCAACAACTAACACTCTTTATTGCCACTATGGCCGTGAATCTTTAACCATACGGATGTGCTCGAGCTGTTTTATAGTATCACATAATGACCATTCTTCTATTTGCAGCCTATGGCTGCTCTGATGGTTGGAGTCAGCAGCTTGGCCTGGTACCATGCACAACAGTCCCATCGAACCTATCATCGCCACCCGATGTAGTGTGGCGAAGGCACCGTCAATGAAGAGGAGAAAGATTGTCGCCCAGGTTGTTGTGCATGGGTTCTGTGATTGCTACTAACATTAGGAAATAGATGTAAATGAAGCTAAATTGCAGCTTACAAGATTTTGATAAAGATATACATTTTATATTGAGCGAAGATATGTAATAAAGCCATCTATGTACCCTAAGTAGTTACCGATTGTATTGATTGTTCTGAAAATTTCAATTGATCAACACGGGAGTATTGGTCTGATTTAGGAGGAGATTAGCTTTTGTTCAAGTATGTTACAGCGGGGAATGAGAAAAATTCTTGCTAAGATTAGAACGTGTGTTGCACGTGCAAGCTTACTAGTAGAATAAAATTGTATAGAAAAATTGATGAAAACGATAATCAGACAGATGGAAACGAGAATACATATATGATATCAAGACTAAAGTAGGATGTCAAAAAATTAAATCACAAAATGAAGACGATAGAACAATCAGCTGGAACAAGATGGAATTAAGTTTTTTAAAAGTACATGAATTAGTACCCATACAAATTAGCAAAATAAGAGTACCAACCATGCCGCCCTGGCATCAATAGAGGACAACTTTTTTAAAGCAAATAACACAAATGAGATGTGCATTATTGGTAGGGCAGTAGGTGGCCTCAATGATTGTGCTGTTGGTCACACACACACACACACACATTAACATTATTGTCGGTAGTACAGTACATGGCGCGTGGACTGAAGGAGTTGCTGGTGAGAGCAACTCCAACGCAGTCCCACCAAAACACCTCCAAAATCGAAAAAACAAATCAGTGGAATCGGTAGATCGGTCGACTAGCTCACCAAATATGCTCTCATTTTGCAAAATTGTCAGAATTTGGGGCTGGAATCGAAGAAAAAGGGATCAAAACTTGTCGAAAAGGGTCATGTTTGTCGATTTTTTTGCCAGAATCTGTGGGCAGCAACTAGTAAGATTTGTTGGTCTCCTCATGTACGTTGCGTCAATCATGTATATATATACTCTACTCCAGTGGGCAAGTTGGAAGTTGTGTGATGAGAACAAGACTCTGCCTGCTGTTTCTCACACACTTTCGATAAAGGATTGATATTTTATGGATGTTACGAGTAGCGGAAAGCTACCCGACGACGACGACTCAATCCAAGTCATCGGTCTATCCGTGTCCCAGACAAACTAGCAGGTAGGAGTACTATTTATATATTACTCTGGTGAGCATCTATGCATATGTAAACAACATATTTGATGAAGAGTGTATATTTGGTTTTAAAATTTGTCACGTGCACGTCCATAAGACCTGTGAGGGCAGATCGCAGCATCGGGATCCAATCGGACGGCTCAGGTTGTGGCTTGAAAAACACACGATCCACGTACTT